ATAGATAGATAGATAGATAGATAGATAGATAGATAGATAGATAGATAGATAGATAGAGGGCACAGGGTGATTTGAAAATGAAGGGGTCATATCTGGAGAATAAAATTAAGGGGTGAGAGAGGATTATAATAAGAGAAGGCGAAAGGGAGAGGTAGAATGAGGTAAATTATCTCAAAAAAAAAGCAGAAAAGAAAAGGCTCTTACAGTGGAGGAGAAATGGGGGAAAGTGAGAGGGAATGAGTGGATCTTAACCTCATAGGATTTGACTTAAGGAGGGAATAACATAAACACTCAATTGGGTATGGAAATCTGTCTTACCCTACAGGAAAATGGGGGGGGGATAAGAGAGTAGGGGGATGATAGAGAGGAGGGCAGATTGGGAAAGGGGGTCATCAGAAACATATATTTCTGAGGATGGACAGGGTCAAAAGAAAGAATAGAATAAATGGCGGGGGTGGGGCAGAATAGGACTAAGGGAAATAGAGTTAGTTTTTCACAGCATGTCTACTATGGAAGTGTTTTGCATGACTACACATGTATAACCTGTATAGAGTTATTTGCCTTTTCAGTGAGGGTGGGTGGGGAGGGAGGAAGGGAGAAAATTTGGAACCCAAAGTTTTAAGAACAAGTTTAAAAAATGTTTTCACATGCAACTGGGAAATAAGAAATACAGGAAATGGGGTACAGAAATCCATCCCACCCTACAGGAAAATTGAAGGGGAAGGGGATAAGAGAAGAGGGGGAAAGATAGACGGGAAGGCAGACTAGGGGAAGGGGTATTCAAAATGCATGCCGTCTTGGGGTGGGGGAGGGGTGAGATGGGGTAAAAATTTGGAACTCAAAATCTTGTGGAAGTAAATGTTGACAACAAAAAAAAAATAAATACAATTACCATATTAAAAAAAAAAAGAAATAAACCCTTTCCCCCCCCAGTAAATGTAAGCTGCAAAATCACTTTATTTTTTGGATCCCTTTGGAAGATCTCTCTTCCATGAACTTTTTTTTTCATTGAGGTCACTTTATTATTTTACAGAATAGGGGTAATCTTGAAATGGTAAATTTAAATGTTAAAATTGTTAAATGTTAAAACAAAACATATCAACAAAACTTTGAAAAATTATTCTTCACATGCACCCCTCCCAAAATAAACTTTAAAGTACTTTTAAAAATTAATACAATAAGGGCAGCTGGAGAGCACAGTGGATAGAGCAGCTGCCCTGGAGTCAGGAGGACCTGAGTTCAAATCTGACCTCATACACACACTAGCTATGTGATCCTGGGCAAGTCAGTCAACTCCAACTGCCTCAAAAAAAAAAAAATAATAAAATAACTCTTTGCAGTCTGTCACCTTTGGTAGTATCTATAGATCCTTAATGGGTTACAGAATTCAGCACAAGGTGTGGTTTTTGAAGAAATGCTAATTGGGTGGTGGGGCGGAAAGAGAAGAAAGGACTAAGGTTTCTTTGGGAGACTCCTACCTATCCTTCTGTTTCTTTGCCTCCTAACATCAATTACTGACCTAGGAGTCCAGAAACTGAGACAACTAAC